TTTTAGTGATAGTTAAATATATATATATATAAATTATGATAAATAAAAGTTGCTAAGATCTGGTTGCCATGGAAAATTATAAATTGGTTAAAATACATATTGGTCTATAATATATATAATTTATCTCATTGTATATCATTGTCTCAACGAGTCTGTACGATTAACTTATACGTCATTCTAAAATTCTAATTGCGACTTTCCTTATAATTCTATATCATAACACTTAGCTACCTCGCTAGATATATAGATAGATATAGTTTAAACCATAAAAAAGGTAGGGCTTTTAACGGGCTACGAAGTGCATGGTCTCAGATAGTATGGAAATAAAAATATAATATAATTCAAATTAAAAAATAAATAAGATTATATTAAAATATTATAAGTTATTGCGTGAAATACTAGCTTTAAGAATATAATAATAATAATGAAAGCGTCTAATAATAAACATACTTCAATGATTTTTGTGAATTTCGTTACGAGTAAAGAATTTATGACGTGAGTCGAACGGAGCCAGTAATTTATTAATTATTGTAGCATTAATATATTATATTATGAAGTGGCGTTGATAGGGGGGAGATACGACACCCCCCTTAAATAGTTTAAGGAATCTTTTCAAATTATGAAACGGTGACTAAAAAAGATCACATATTCATTTATATTATGACAACCCCCACCTTTGAAAAAATCCTACGTACGCGTACGTACGCCACTAATATTATGTATGCATTCGTATAATATTATATATCTAATTAGCATCACATATAGCAATAGTATCTTTCATTATCTCCTGTAAATGAAACGAAATTCACACTCATCAATTAGTTCTATTTTTATTATTTTGACGTCCCACCGCTTAAATACTGTCAGCAGATTACGGAATCCTAAACATTAAGATCGCCGTGTTGTTTAATCGTGCTGGTAAGTTGTTGAAAAAACGCATTCGTCAATCCATCATAAGAGATAAAACCTAGGCACTACGACATTGAAGTTCTTTTTAATGAATACATATTTTTTTCTGAATAAAAATATTTTTTCTTCGAGATATTTAAGATAATATGGTACATATTACACTTAATAGAAAACAACTAAATACAATATTTTAATTGTCGAGTGGAGTAAGGAAACGAGTGAATTAGTAATTAGTGTTGTGCTTTTTCTGGATTAGAATATTTATATTTTTACATAAAATATCAACACAGTATCATTCTATCTTACTTTCATAAATAAAACCTTTATCTGATATTTACATAACACTTTTATTGATTTAACGTTTTTATAATTTCTAATATATTAAATTTAAAACAACCCACCAAACGCCCAAATTATAGTTCCTTCCGGACTGATTAATTTTGAATTTTTAACATTTATAAAACCAGCAATTCAAAATTTCCAAACCAAATAAAATAAATTGCTAATTATTTTTAAGTTGATTATCTATATATGTTATATCTTGATAAAATCATGTTGAATTATGTTTAATCTAGATAATTTTTTTATTCATTTATCTGTTATCTTTAAAGTTATCTGTGCACTACACTATTTGTGATAGGTGCAGTATAAAGTTTGTTTTATTTTTTTTTTCATTTCATATTATTATACGAGATTTAATTTTCGCTACAAAGCATGATTGAAGAATTTTATAGTTTTGAAGTATATTACTCACTCCTTAAAATAAATAATTACAAGTTTTACTCCTTTAATTTTAAATTATGCGGGTACTCTTCGTAATGATTTGGGTATGGAAGTATTTGAAAATGAACCAATTCTGTTTTGTAAACGTTTTCAAAGTCTACTTGTAAACCATCATTATCTTCTCAGGAATAATTTATATACTTTATTATCTATCAAGATATTCTCCTCGTTGTAGGCATAAAAGGAACTTGCATCGTCGTGACCTTTTGTAAAAATAATTGCCTGGAAAATCATATACCAAATCATAATATGTATGGTCTATGTACCAGATTATATCTTTCTTAACTGAATATTAATAATCGTCTTTTTTAAAATAGACACTGAACAAAAAAAAAGTAAAATAAAAACAGTGAAAATCATGATCAAATTGATCTAACAGTCTCTAATGACTCTCACCGATTATTTCTTCATGCCGTTTGTTCGATTAACAAATTTTCACCCATAAAATCATTACATTATAGTATGTTGTTTGTGTATAAATATTTTAAAGATATAGTATCGTTAGTGTAACTGCATGCGTCTGGTTTAATAAAAACTGTCTTGTTCGTAAAGAATAATTAATTCCAGTATATGACTTAAACAATATATTGGCTATACACATATACTCATACAACATAACATATAACTTTCAAACTTGTTGGAGACCATTTGGTATTATCGCGTGCACAATAACGGTAATGATTATGTCTAGTCGTTATCGCAGTCGTTTTACAAGCACGGCGTGAAAGAAATAAAAACGGCGACGCGAAAATCAACTCGTCCGCGAGCACAGTCTTTTTGTAGAGCATCTAGAGACATTTTCGCAGCATCTATACAGGGTGATTCTTTTAATGGTAAAAAATTACTATTATACATTTTTAATTCAATAATCTGAAAAACAGAGAATTTTTCTGAGAATTGTGTTGCATAAAAATATAGRACCAGTAAATAATGATGGATAATATAGATATTTAAAATTCAGACGAGTGAATTCATGCATAACACATACCTTATCTAATTTTGATGTATAAGAAATACTAGGAAATAATTGTAATTTTATGTTAGCTTATCTAATACCCTTAGAAAATTATTCTGCGTAACACTAAAAGTGTACGTTATCGTATGTTTTAAATTGTATCAAATTAAAAAAAAAACATTTTTTTATTATTTTCGAGGTAAACAATGTTTGCTGTTAAAAGAGTTACCCTGTATACGATCACCATAACCACTAGTCAACTACAAGTAAATCGGTGACCGTTTTATTTCAGAGAATTTTCCATTATGTCCAGATGCAATACATTTAATGAACAATAGTTTCTACCTGTTCCTAGTATCGCTGACAGTACTACCATTATATTAGGTTTTTCTTTTATCAGCTCGCGTACGAATTTTGCGTTTCGTGTAAGCTAAATTTTTCTGACTTCCACGATGGGATACCAACTAGCTAAGTTTCAATCGGTTATCGTCGTAAAAATTCATTTTTTACTATCATTACAATAACTGTAACTGTATAACAATTTGTTTTTAACTTAGATAAGTATAATAATATAACATAAGTCAATAAATATTACCTATATTAAATTAACTATCGGTTTCTATTCTATATTTTTGTAGTGTAATAGTTAAGTGCTAAAAATTCTAAAATAAAAAAGAAATAAAGTTGGTTGATAATCATAATCACGAATAGTATAATAACTAATAACTATACTAAACTACTATTATAATGACAATATTGCTGCATTATTGCAACAATATGCTACATTGCTATTGTGAGTAAGTAATCATATCATATAAATTTAAATTTCTCCATTAACTTATTTTTTGGAGATGTATAATCGATTTGCATTTCGTCATCGTTTTTTGGTGATTTTGAACGAACTACGTTTCTTTAACTCGTCATCCACACCTTAGAAATGTATTATAATATTATAGACTTATCTATTTAATACATATTTAAATATAAATAAATAAACTCTTAGTAAATTCTTATTGTAAAATATGACCATTACGGACACCCATTGGAGCATCCCGAGCTTGTCACCTATTTGCTCGGGTTTAACAGTAGACTTTCATCGCCTCTGCTCGATCCCACGGGATCGTCTCCTACAATATCTGCACCAAAAATCATCGAAATGACATTAAAATAACCGTGTCCCGATGGTCCRCGCTCGTAAYGGGCCTCGAGGACGACGAGATGAACGCTTAGTGGCTGGAAATTATACTCGTTCGTAATAAWGCCCAGAAAATTGGTCGATTTCATGTATATATATTATATATGTATACGATATACGGTCGTATATGATTAATGCGAGCTTAGAGTTGTCACTACAAGCTGGAACGCCGTGCGGGGTGCGATTCGGGATGGCAGGCGGTGTGGACCGGCTGCTTTTGACGACGTTTCTGCGCCCGAGTGAAACCGGAGAGACCGGGATAAAGGTGAATTGTCTCGCGTCCTTTTGTCGTCGGGTGTACTCCACCGCCGCCGCCCTATGGTATCACTACCCACCTCTTGATCTCCGCCGCCAAAAAACTCGGGGTATATCAAATTTTCGGCCACTTCACGCACGAATAATAAAAGTGGAGGAGAGATTAAATTGTTTTCAGACAACACGCTGTATACATTATACAAACGCACACKCGCATACGGACACGAATGCGCCGGTCTGTACAATAATATGTGCACATATACGAATTTGTATATATTTTGTTGTGTGTGTGTGTGTGTGTGTATGTATGCATAATATGTATGAATTGTATAGGTACTTATATATATATATATATATATTTCCATCGCGTTTCGCGTACCAGCCACGTCTTGTTTCAAAGCGATGTGGGGAAGGGTCTCTGTGAACGAGTTTTATGATGAAAACCATTTTCATTGCATATGAAACCCCCAGGCCGTTAAACAAGAAAAAATTATTTTACTTTTCAGTTGCTTCCTCGTTTTATTTTTCGTTCATTCGCGGACAGTGTCATTATGTGATTATACTATATGAATAACAATAATAATTAATCTGTGAACTAAAAATTTGGTAAACGCCATTACAATTTATTTGCAGTTAACTACGTGACTTATACATTAAGTTTAATTTAAATACGATGAATATTTTTTTTAGTTCTAAGTAATTACTTAAGTTTACTAGTGTAGAAAATCTAATTTAATAAATACCATATAAATTTCAGTACCAGTGTTATAGTAGGTAACATTTTAGAAACGAAACTATATTTTAAATCAATATAATATATCTACTTTATCATTTTATTTATAAATATAATTTACTGTTATTGATGCCTACATTTGTTAAATTATAAATAAATTTGTTTTACAGTATTGACGGACGATCCGAATTTCGCAGAGCCTATACCAAATGTTACAGTGTCGCTTGGGAGGGATGCATCCCTTCCGTGTGTAGTCAACAATCTCGGCACGTACAAGGTAAGATGCCACGTACATATTATTATTATTATTGGTAGTAGTAGTAGTAGTAGTAGTAGTGGTGGTAGTGGTAGTGGTAGTGGAGGTGGTAGTATTATTATTATATAGAGGAAAGTACTTCATAAATCATTTTAGTGAAATATATTTTCAAAAGATTTACGACCGACAATTTTGGGTTACTTACGTGTATATTATATATACCTCTATATTGACCAATCTAAGGTTCAGGTATATATTAAGAATATAAATTAGTACTATACGTATTTAATATATATTTTGTATCCAATAGAAGTATTGGAAATAAAACGTGTGATATATATATATATTTATAAGGTCTATTAGTTTTTCCAAAAAACAAAAAAAACTGCAAAGAATGCGTTCCCAATTACGTATTTAAATACAAATTAAGGTTTATTTTACAATAATATTTGATTTGTTCAGTTCAAAATTTAGTTCATTTGTTCAGACTGTTTTGAGCTTAGAAACAATTATTTATAACCTGTAAAATCAATATTTGCATACTTTTTTAACCAAATTCTTTTCTTTTATAATCTGAGTAAATGAGTGAAGCAATGAGATATACCTAAGAATTGTTTTAACGAAGGAATAATTTGATATCAAATATCAGGTAGCTTTTGGCATTTTCGATGAACTGTTCAAAGTTCAAACAACAAATTTACTTTAATCATATTTCAAAATACATTTAAATATAGTTATGTTGAAAACTAAAGAGAACAGAAAAAAAGTTAAAGAAATCGAATTTTATTGTAATAACGTCATGGAAATTATTTCAAGGGGTTTAAATTAAATACGATATAACGATAAATTTGAGATATCAAAATTTGACATAAAGAAAATCTTCTGTATTAAAATATTATTTA